GCTGGCATTTGTTGTTGTTCCCTGGCCTTAGATGAATCACTCCAGTCTCCACCTCCTTCATCACATGATGTTCTCCCTGAGTGTGACATTTTTTGGTTCTTTTAAATTGTGGAGGCTCGGTGCCTGTGGCTCAAGCAGCTAAGGCACCAGCCACATACACCTGAGCTGGTGGGTTTGAATCCAGCCCGGGCCCACCAAACAACCATGACGGCTGCAACCAAAAAATAGCTGGGAGTTGTGGCAGGCACCTGTAGTCCCAGCTACTTGGAAGGCGGAGGCAGGAGACTCGCTTGGGCCCAGGAGTTGGAGGTTGCTGTGAGCTGTGATGCCACAGCACTCTACCCAGGGCAACAGCTTGAGGCTCTGTCTCTAAATAAATAAATTGTGGATCATAGCTTTTAAATCATGTTTTTGAATAGGCTAATGGTGATATATATATAGAAAACATCTGAGTGCTTACTATTAATAATTCAAATAGTTTTTTAAGCTGATTATTTTTGTTTTTCCAACAAATAATAACTTGCATCCTCTTTTTCAGTTTTTTTTAAGAGAACCCTGACACACCCTTCACTCGGCAGAAGGACAGTGGTAGAATCATAGCTCACTGCAACCTGAAACTCCTGAGTTCATGCAATCCTCCTGCCTCAGCCTCCTGAGTAGCTGGGACTTAGGCACATGCCACCGTGCCCAGTTAATTTATTTTATTCTATTTTTTTGTAGAGATGAGGTTTTGCTTAGTTGCCCAGTCTGGTCTTGAACTCTTGGGATCAAACAATCTTCCTACCTTCACCTCCCAAGGAACTGGGATTTTAGGCATGGGCCACCATGCCCAGCCTCCAATATTTAAATGTACTATTTTATTGTCTTAACTAATTACTGTTGTCCATCAGTATCCATGGAGAATTTGTTCCAGGACCTCCAGAGAATGCCCAAAACTGAGGATGCTCACGTCCCTGCTGTAAAGTGGTGTACTATTTGCATATAACCTGTGTACATCCTCCTGTATACTTCAAATCATCTCTAGATTCCTCATAATACCTAGCACAACGTAAATGCTATAAAAAGAGTTGTTCTACTATGTTACTTAGGGAATAATGGCAAGGAAAAATGTCTATACATTTCCTTTACTCAAGGCATCAATAAAAAGAAAAAAGCAAAAATTTGTACATGTTCAGTAGAGATGCCATTTATTTCCCCAGTACTTTCAGTCCTCAGATGACTGAATCCTGGGCCATGTGTTCCTGGGGGGGATATGCTCCGTAACAGTGGTGATTGTAGGCACGCCACCTCTATGGGGATGTCTCCAGTTTCTTATCACTTACATACCATGTTGCTTGTTGGTCAGAGATAAAGAAATACCATTTTGTTTCTACCCCTGAGTGTTAACACCTTTTGTTTCTGTTTTATTAAGAATTTTAAATTTTTTGGCTCGGCGCCTGTGGCTCAAGCGGCTAAGGCGCCAGCCACATACACCTGAGGTGGCAGGTTCGAATCCCCAGCCCGGACCCGCCAAACAACAATGACGGCTGCAACCAAAAAATAGCCAGGTGTTGTGGCGGGCG